TGGACGCCCATTGGCGGGGCCGCGTGACGGACAGCCGCGCGCTCCTGTCAGGCGGAGGCACTCGGGGCTGGCTCGCGGCCTGCGTGCGCCGGGCTGGGGTCGTGGTTGCGGGCTGCGGGGCGGTGGCGGAGGCCGGCCGGAGGGAGGTGGGCGGAGCTCGTGTGAGGGGCGGTGGCGCGCTGAGGACGTGCGGCCTCTCGGCCGGTAGATGGACGCGGCACTGGGAGGGGCGGAGGGGCTGAGGGGCGGCCGCGCAGGTGTGCGGGGCGATCGCGGGGCCGTGCGTTTGGTAATGCCGTGGTCACTTGAGCCACTTACCGCGAGTGCAAGCCTGCCCCCTGCGTGGCCCAGAAATTTCCCCAAGTTGCTCAAGTGTTTTTTTTTGGGTTTTTTTGTTTTTTTTTATTTAAACTCTGGTTTTTGGAGACACAGGGTCCCGGACTCTCTTTGTAGCCCAGGATGACCTGAACTTCTGATCCTCCTGCCTTCGCCTCCCAAGTCGTGGGGTGACAGGCGTGCTCCAGCACACCCGTGGCCTTTCCGGGGCTGTTTCTTGTTTTAAATGTACTAGGTGCCCAGCACGCCTACTTAAGAACAGTGTCGTTACCACCCTAGGCTACACCCGTGAGAGTCTGGACGGTGAATTTCCAGAATCTGGGGTCAACGCTGCACACCCGGGCGGCTGAATGTTGATGGGCAGTGCGGAGTCACGGTCCAGTGCGGCTGCTTTTCCTGTGCTCAGACATCTGTGTCCCCGGTTGTGAGAGCACCCGACCTTCTTGCCCAACTTTTCTGAAATCTGTGTCTTATGAAAGAGGTGGTGGGGGCAGCAGGCTTATCGCTCACCGAAATACTGTTTAAAACCCGTTTGCTTAAAGGCCAGCCAGTGTCTTTCCTAAGAGGGAGGTGCTTCCAACGTGGCCTCGCAGAGAATCAGTATTTTAGCTGGGCGTTCTGGTACATACCTGTCATTCCAGCCTGGGCTTCAGAGCAAAACCCATGTCTCAAAAACCCAAACAGCTTATCCAAAGGTAACATCTTTAAGCAACACACTGCAGTATGAAAACTCACTTTGCAGATAGTTAAGGCATGCTTGTGTCAATGAATTGTATTTGATCAAACGATTAAATAATAGATCCTTATTATAACTGAAAAAATGCAAGCTTGATTTCATTTGTTTTGCTTCAAGTAGTGATGAAAATTTCCATTAAACTATTTGAAGGAATTATTGATTACAAAAGTGTCAAAGTTAAATTTTTTTTAAACTGCCCAAGAAAGAGTTTGTTTTTTCTAAGATGCTTCTGTTAAGTGCTTTGCCCCATCTTTTGATGAACTATTTCTTTAAATGTGGGGGGGGTGTTTTTTTTGTTGTTGTTTTTTGGTCTTTTTGAGACAGGGTCTCTCTGTAGCCCCAGCTGTCCTGGAACTCACTATGTAGACCAGGCTGGTCTTGAACTCAGAGATCCACCTGCCTCTGCCTCCCGAGTGCTGGGATTAAAGGCGTGCGCCACCATACCCGGCGACTTGGCTATTTTTTTTGTAAGGTTTTGTGTTCTAGACTGTAAGATGAAAGTGTCCTTAAGTGTTTCTCCTATCACATTTACAGAGCTCTAAATTCTTTGCTCATCTTTAGCAGATTCTTTTTAGAAACATGGAATGTAAAATGGGAAAGGACTTAAGAGATACCTGTTTCATGTTACTGAGCTGTCCATGTCCAGCCCAGGTGGGCCTGCTTTTTTATGTGTCTCTTTTCTGCGAGATGTCGGGAGGGGCTCTTGGCTGGCCTCATCTTAGCAGTATTTTGTCATTGTGGGAATATGGTTGCATAGAAAGGTTTCTGATTTTCCTTGGCTCCTTTAATAACAACAGCAACCAGAAAGGGAGTTGTTTGTCTTGGTATCTGACAGCCCTGTGAGGTGCTTGATGTCTTGGGCCAGTGAGCTTCTGCGTTGTCATTAGCTCTTACAGCAGCAGCAGAACACCCAACCTCCATGTGACACCAGATGTTGCTTTGGAAAATCGGATAGATAGAAAGTGTTTGACTTGGGAGAGGCCGAGCTTTTCAAAGTTACTGAAAAGCTGTTAGAGAATGCCAGCTTTAATTACTGTCCTTTCTTCATTTGCTTTTTAAAGCCCATTACACAACACTGGACTGAACAAAACAAGAAGCCGTATTGATTCCTTCAAGTGATTTTTTTTTCTCTTTTTTGCACTGAGCAAAACAACTTCTTCAGCCATCTAATGCTGAGTTGCTGAGAAGTCCACGTACTTTGTTGGCTAAGGTTGCACAACTTGGGAAAACAGGCGCTGAGACGTGCAGATTATCTCTGCTTTGAGACTTTTATCTTTAGGTCAGGGGTCACATTTTTCTTAAGGTTTATTTATTGTTTTCATATGTACATGTGTGTGCTTGCATGACTTTATATTCATCATGTTCTTGTAGGCCTGTGGAGGTCAGAATTGGGCATCAGATCTTCTGGGACAGGAGTTACAGGTGGTTGTGGGCCGCCATGTGGGTGCTGGGAACCAGGAGGAGCCAGCTCGGATCCAGCTTTCCAGCCCCCTTGCAAAGCATTAATAGCAGATTAAAATAGCAGACTTTGGTTTTGGCTTTGGTTTTCTTGAGACAGTCTCCCTGTAGCCCCAGTTGGCCTGGTCTCTTAGTCCTTCCTGAAGGCTTAAACTAGAAAATATCTCATTATATCTGTTCCAAACTGGCATGAAGGTGAACAGCTCTCAGCTGTGAACAGTCCTTTAAAATAACAGCTTTCCACCTTTTCTTTAAAGTCCACTTTCGAGGAGGAGCGTTCCCTCTGGGCTTGCTTCCCGCGTGCACTTCTTAGGTGTCATAAAGTCCATCTGTCTTGCTGTGCTTCCTTTCTGAGAAAAGGGGACTTGGTGAAGATGGCAGAGGTGGAGCAAAGAGAGGTTCTGAGACTGGAACACATGAGGCAGAGAGATGCGCGTGCAGCGTCTCCTGAGGAAGGCATTCCTGGCACTGGGGGACTAAAGGCTGGAGGGCGGCTCAGGGCAGCCTAGACACAGAGTTCCAGGCCAGCCTACACTGGTGGTAAGACCTGTGTCAAGAGACAGCACAAACCAACACAAAAGGGAGAAGAAAAAAGTTTTCTTTTTTGTGTTACTCAAAAAATAAAACAATATATAATCTTTTTAAAAGACTTTTTTCTGTTATCAGCAGGAGATTTTATTTGATTTTAAGATGGGGTTTCACTATGTAGCCCAGGCTGACCTGGAACTCACTTAGTAGCCCAGGATGGCCTTGAACTTGGCCTGTCTCAGACTCCAAAGTGCTGAGATTATAGATGAGAACCACAACGACTGCTTGATGTGCATCTGCTTAATAAATGTACACATAAGTTCCCTATAGTACTGTTTCCATAGAGAATATTTGTGGGCGCTGAGGTGATAGCTTAGTGAAGTACTTGTTCTGTAAGCATGAGGATCTGAATTCAGTCCCTAAAACCAACATAAAAAAGCTGGGCCCATGTACACACCTGTAATCCCAGCACACGAGAGGCAGAGGCCAGCCTGGTCTACATAACCAGTTCCAAGCTATGTAATGGATTCTGTCTCAAAACAAAACAAAAATCATACCCATATTGACATTGCAGTGCATCTCAAAGCTTTAGGTGAAAATCAGTACTTAGAGGAACAAACGTACAATATAATTCCATTGGTTTATTTAAGAAAAAATAAAAGCCAGGCGTGGTGTTTCATGCCTTTATTACCAGCACTCGGGAGACAGAGGCAGGCGGATCTCTGTGAGTTCGAGGCCAGCCTGGTCTACATAGTGAATCCAGGCCAGCTGGGGCTACAGGGAGACCCTGTCTCAAAAAGACAAAACATAAAAATAAAAAATAAAAGAAAAAAATTTCATGGGGGAGGGGGAGACCCTTCCAAAATTCTCCATGTGAAACGATTTAAAAGTGATTTCCTTTGGAAGTAGGAATGGGAGTCAGGTAGGGTGCAGGTCTGTAACCTCACAAGGCTGAGACTGGAGGGTCAGGCGTTCAAGGCCAGCCTGGATTACATGAAACCCTGGTTCAGAAAATCAAAATCAAAGCTTGGGATCTATAGCTCAGTGGTAAAGCACTTGTTTAACATGCCTGTGAGTTCTGGGTTCAATCCCCAGTACCACAAAAAAAAACAACCAAGAAGATAGCCAGTAATTTGGAGTGGGAGGTCCACATTTATTGTTCAAGCAACATACTTTTGTAGTCAAGCAATTTTGAAAAGATAGTATTATTACAGTGACTGTCGTGTACATGGCCCTGGGAACCTCTCTTTTTGTGTGCTTTGTTCATTCCATCCTCCCCATAACTCTATGAAGCAGATGCAGATGTTATCCTTACTCTACAGATAAAGAAACAGACACAGCGGCTAAGAAACCTGTTGTGCTGTAAGCTGAAAGCCCTAGTTTGGGGCTGTGGCTTCAGTCAGCACTGTTAACCAGGTGCTGGTATCTGCCCACATGAGTGCAGTCTGCCACGGGGGAAATGGCAGCTGGTGCTCCAGGCTGCTAAGGCCACAGCAGGGCTTATGTAGAGCTTTTCTAGGTATGCCTCCAGTTACTAACTATAGGTTAATGGTGAGAGAGAGAGAAAGAGAAGCTTTAGCATACTGGTTTGGAAGTCCTTTAGGAAAGTGAGGTGCGGAACCCTGGCCCTGTGGCTACCTTTTCCTTTTGATCAGGCACTTCAGGAGCATGCTTGTCCTTTAGGACTCTGGCTTCTACAGAACCATCTGGAACTCCTGGCTCCTTAATCTGCTCCGCCACCGCAGCCCTGGGCTTCCGTTTGGTTTTGTTTATTTTACATATTGACTTCTCTACAAGAGCTGGCCCCATTGGTTTTAACAAGTTTGAAAATCCTAGAAGCAGTGGGAGTAGGGAGGAAAAGATTGTTTATTCCGTCCTTCCCTCCCTCTAAAACATTTTACAGCTCTCTAAATTTAGAGCTGTTTTGGCATATTCAGATCCACTTTGGAGGCACTTCGAATATTCATTTAAACCTCTCAGCTCTGTGGTTGTGTTTGCTCATCGGTCTTAAGTGTCCTTATTCAAGCCCATTCTCAGGTAGGTGTAGAATGAGGCCACAGAGCTGCTTGCTGTTCACCTGTGGTGGTTGGAATTGGTGGTTCTGGGACACTAGGGCTGCCTTTGGTAGGGAGGACAGGCTAACTCTTCAGTAACAGATACAAACTCCTTAGTGCGTGAATGAGTATCTCTTTTTGCCAAGCACTTTAAATCACTGTGATTCGCTCCCTGGCAGCTCTGGGAAGTGGGTCTCACACTGTTCAGGCTGTTCACAGGTGAGGAAACTGAAGGGCAGAGGGGTAAGTGGTGGAGTCTGATTTCAGAGGCGGGAGACCTCAGCTGGATCTGGTGTGGTAGTTGCCTCATTAGAGATGTGAGGGTTCTGAAGGGCTGATGGGACTCCTATTCAGCCGAGGGAGGACCGCAGAGTGCTTCTTGGAATTAGAGGAATGCCCCACCAACCTGCTTGGTTAACATTTGGGGATGAGTGGAGATAGGGTCTTACCCTGTAGCCCAGGCTGGCCTCGAACTCATTTTTTTTTTTTTTAAGATTTATTTTATGTGTTTGCCTATGGAACCCAGAAGAAAATATCAGATGCCCTGCAACTGGAGTTACCGCCATGTGGGTGTTGGGAACTGGGCCCAGGTCCTCTCCAAGAGCAAGTGGTCTAAATCTTGGAGCCATCTCTCCAGCCTTGAACTCGTTCTTGAAAATCCTCCTGCCCCACTCCCGAGTTCTAGGAGTACAGGTGTAAGCCATCAGGCCCAGCTGCTGGTTGCATTTCTAAAGCAGCGTTTAATGTGAAGAAGGAAGCTTACAGAAAATACATTTCTGTTTTTGTTGTCATTGAGTAATTAGCTACTGTTATCGATTCTTGACTCCTCAGCACTTACGGGGCCAATAAACATTTTTCATGAACTATGCCGATTACCGAGACCCATCCCCTTCTCTTCGAGGCTCCACCCCCTCCGAGTATTTGTCCCTAACTTCTCTGCCTGTAGCTTTTATGCAGTGGCTCCCCCCCCACACACACCATCAGGACTTAATGAAAACCCTAGAAAGTAGGGTTCGCAGGAGAGAAAGGGGAAGAGACAACTTCACAAGGTATGTTCAGTGCGTGAAAGAAGAGACAGAATAGAGTTAAGGCTGGAGGGAAGGAGGAAGCAGATCTGTGGGACAGACCCAGAGCCCCTCATTTTGTTATGAAGTAGCTGCATTGGGCCAGGCATGGTGTCGTACACCTTTGATCCCAGCACTCGGCAGGCAGAGGCAGGCAAATCTCTGTGAGATTGAGACCATCTAGGACTACAGGGAGACCCTGTCTCAAAAAACCAAAACAGCAACAAAAAGAAGTGTCTGCATTAATGCATGCTGTGGATCTGGGCAGATTTTCTCTCCAGAAGCTTCTGTTTGTGCTAAAAGTAAGAGACGGTTGTTAATGTATTCAGCTGAACTCTATGTGTCATGGCTAAGGTAGATGTTGATTTAATTTGTGGTGCAGATAACACATAACTAGCTGAGGAGGACTCTGGAAGACATAGCAAGTGTGTGTATGTGTATTAAAGTTAAGTAGTCTGTCTAGTAAAGTAGCTATTTATTTTTTGAAGAATAGACCAAGTGTTCAGTAGAATGCATTGATTGGATATAAATTAAGCTGTAAACAGAGAGAAAATTGACTGGAAGACACATTTTCAATTTAGTTCACAATTTCCACCTTCTGAATGATTTAATGCACGAACTGCTTCCCAAACCGAACAATACAAGTTCTTTCTTTTATTATTTGTTTATTTTCTTCTGAAAATTTTGGCTTCAGTTTGAGGCAAGTCAGAATTCTTATCTGAACTCGGCATGTTGACATCTGTGTGCACACGAGGGATTTCAGTCCTGCTGTGGTTATGACTTCATTTATCTGACTCGTCCAACAGGTTCCTGGGTGGAGCTCCCCATGAACAGCAGCAGTGGCGATGGCAACGGCAACGGCAAGAACGGGGGCCTGGAGCACGTCCCTTCCTCATCCTCCATCCACAATGGAGACATGGAGAAGATTCTCCTGGACGCACAGCATGAGTCGGGACAGAGCAGCTCCAGGGGCAGCTCTCACTGCGACAGGTAAGCAGGGGCCCTGGGTTCGGGAGTCAGGTGGGTTATTCCCATGAAGAGAAGGTACACTTGTTAAATCTTCGCCCAACAATCTAAGCCTCCTGACTTACTGTAGCATGCATATTTAAACTAGACAGCTAATGGCTAGGCACCTGAGTGCCCACTGTGCCCCCAAATGTCATTTTTATTCTCAGATTGTATTTTCGGATGTTTATCAGTTTAAAATTGAGCGGCAGGCCATGAGATGACTGAGCAGATAAAGGTGCTCGCTGCCAAGCCTGGTGAGCTGAGTTTGATCCTAGATCCCACATGGTGGAAGGACAGAGCAGATTCCCATAAGTTGTCCTCTGAACTACACACGCATGTGTGCAAACCCACAGCAGCACAATTCAGTGCCATTAATGTTATAGAGTTAATCTTTCTCCCATTTCCCTTTGTTTTTGAGCCCATGTCATGAATCACAGTTAACCTCTCTACGGTCTGTCTTCCCATTGTAGATGGCCAGTTTCTAGACACATTGCCTCTGCACACTTCACAGTAACGGACTGGTCCACAGTGGACACTCAGCAAATGTTTGACTCGCAGGACCTGCTATTGATGCAAGTTATAGCAATATTTGTGCAGAGGAGTCCCAGCATCTGAACATCTGTCCATTTCCTCTTAGGAAGTTTTGTGTAAATTGACTCTGGGAAGTTAATTGCACTAATTAAGAATTGCTTAAGGTGATGGAGTTAGAATGCAGAGGGATGTGTGATGAAAAGGAAACCAAGATGTTTATTTTTCAGTCTGAGTTTCTTTTTTTTTTTCCCAGAGAGAATAGGTATTAAATGACATTTAAAAATTCTAAGGTGGATGGGCCAACACACATTTGCAATCTCATCACTCAGAAGGTTGTGGCAGGAGGATTACCACAAGTTCGAGGCCTGCCAGGGCTACGTACCTATTTCCAAAAAGGAAAAAAGAATGGTTGGTGCGGTGCCAGGTGCAGTGTTGGCTTTATGGAGCACTGGCTACCCTGACGGCCTCGTTAGTTAGTAGTTAACTGATTATTAACCATGTTGGAAATGCACGTGCACAGGAAGAAAGTGGCGGGGCAGTTGAGTCTACCTGACCTTCCTGTGTGTCTTATGATCTGCTTTTGTCACCATGGCAGCTAGAGGACTGGCTGGTGGGCACATTGGCGCCCTGCCACCCCCAGGGAATCGCTGCCTAGTTGCTGGCTTCTCAGAGCCTGCAGCGGCTCTTGTCCTAAGCAGAAGCCAGTGCATGGCTTTCTTAGCAGCTGCTGTTGATGCTGAAGCTGCAGCCTTCGTCTGTCTTTCAGAATGAAGGTTTGTGTCATGGGACTTGCTTTCTGTTTGGGTTTCTGACACTTTCTGCCTGCTGTAGCCTATTTTCTATACATTTGCCTGAGCTCAGATTAGTGGTACCATGAGTCTGTGAACTGTTGTTCGCAGTGCAGAGAGGTCACCTGCTGTTGGGCCGTCCTGTTTTCCCTTCTGTGGCAGTGATGTGCATGGTGGGTTGTGAGTTCTCCTTCTCAGGGTCAGGCTTAGTTTAGGTCCCTAAGTGCATGTGAGGAGAAACGAAGGGGCTGACTGGCCCATCAGTCAAGCTGGAACAGTATGCTCCAGGTGCAGTGAGACCCTGCTTCACCAAAGAAGATGGAGAGCAAAGAGAGGAGACGCTCAAAGGCACCCCCCCAGCTTCCACACATGCACTAGCACCTGCACACACATATGTACACAAACATACACAGAAAAGAGTAAGAAAAGTGCCTTCAAAATTCATGTCATTTGGCTTGTATTTGAAGTTACTGGCAGATATTTTTCAGATTTATTTTTTAATTTTACGTGTATGGTTGTTTGCCTGCATGTATGTATGTGGACATGTGTGTGCAGTGCCCACAGAGGCCAGCAGATGATTTCAGATCCTCCAGGACTGGAGTTGTAGATGGTTGTGAGCTGCCAAGTGGGTGCCAGGAACAGAACTATGCAAGAGCGACAAGTGCTCTTAACCGCTGAGGCCTCTCCCCAGCCTCAGGAAGTCCTTCTTGTGGGTGGGGGTTTAGGGTTGCTGGGTGCTGGCCTCTGCTGATGCACATGGTCTTTCTCTTTCCTCTCTTCTGTTCTCCACTCTCTTCCCTTCTCTCTCCTTTTCATGGTACTGAGGATTGAACCTAGCACCTCTTGCATGCCATGCAAGGCCTGTACAGCTGGGCTCTATCATCATGCCTTTCATTTTTATTTTTGAAACTATCTTACTGAGCTACACAGGCTAGATTTGAACTTGCTCTGTAGTCCAGGCAAGTATTGAACTTGAACATTTTCTGCCCCGTCTTCTAGAATAGCTGGAATTATAGTCCTGCACCTCCAAGCCCAGTCTGATTTATGTATATTTTTTATTTAAAAGTTATACCTTGCAGGGCATGGTGGTGCACACCTTTAATCCCAGCACTCAGGAAACAGGCAGGCAGAGCTCTGTGAGTTAGAGGACAGCCTGGTCTATATAGCCAGTTCTGGGCCATCCAGAGCTATACAGTAAGACCTTTCTATAAATAAATAATTTTAAAAATTGATCTTTTTGAGACAGGGTCTCCCTGTAGCCACTGCTGGCCTAGAACTTGCTGTGTAGACTAGGCAGGCCTCAATCTCACAGAGCTCCACCACACCCGGTTGTAATTTTTAAAACAATTTTAAAGTAATCCCATAGATCGCTCTCATCACTGCAGTGGTACTGAGAAGATGCCCTGTTGCGTTTTGCTCTGTGTTCTACCCCACTGTAGCCCTTCAGCCTTGTCTGCCTGCTAGGTAAGCCAGGGACCTTCTAAAAACCTCAGTGTGTGGAGCCTGTCCCTAGAGCACTTCCTTTGGTTGTCAGGGCAGGATAGGTACATCACAGTGATTCTACAAGCTCTCTGACTGGTTCTTAGAGGAACTGGGTAGAAGCCCTGCTGCATTCCAAAGCCTCAGAAAGAGTAAGAAGTTTACCAGTGAGGAGAGAGTGCTTTTCTAACAGGGTTGGTGTCAACGGCACAGTGCATGCAGAGGGAGAACAGTGTTTTTATGGGATCCTGGACCTGTCACTTTGCCTGCCATGACTTGGTCACAGCTGTGTAAGGCTGGCCCTTGATGCCATAGTGTTACAGCACAGATGATAGACTGAAGTCAGGAACCATGTTCTGCTTGCTGCCTGTGTTGCCTGTTGCCTCTGTAGCCTGACGTGTTTATTCAAAGGAGAAAAGTTGTGTCTGATATAAAATCTTTTCCCATTTAAGACCTAAAAATGTGTATATTACCTAAAAGTGTGTACCACCTGCATTCTGTGCCTGTGGAAGTCAGAAGAGGGTGTTGGATCCCCTGGGACTAGAGTCACAGACAGTTGTCAACTGCCGTGTGGGTGCTGGGAATTGAATTATATCCTCTGTGAGAGCAGGACATTCTCTTTTTCACTGAGCCATCTCTCCAGCCCCTTAAGACTTTCTTTAAAGAACTTTTTTGATTATTTTGTGTGTGTGTGTGTGTACATGACGGTTGGGGGCACATACAACACGTGTAGAGGTCAGAAGGCAACTTTGTGGTTTTGGTTCCCTCCCTTCACCTTTGTGGATTCTGGGAATTGAACTCAAGTCCCCAGGGTCTAGCAAGCACCTTTATCCACTAAGCCATCTCACTGGTCCATAAGCAATTTTTTTTTTTTTTTGAAACAAGGTCTCCCTGTACCTGCTGGCCTGGAACTCATTATGTAGAGCAGACTGGCCTCTATCTGATATACTGGGCTCCATAAGCAATTCTTAATGAAAAATAACTTTCCCATAACCCAAAACATTAAGAATAATGGTAATTGTTTACATTTTTGCAAATCTCTTTAATGTCTGGCTTAATAGGAAGCAGCCGGAGTCTGACCGGCTTTGCATTCAGTCTGTTATTCTGTCACATCCTGTATAGTCTTTGGAAGGCTCCAGGGGACAGGCGAGAGAGAAGGCAGTGGGAAGCACAGACCTAGTAGTACCATGAGGGCAGCTCTGACCCCGCTGAGCCCCTTAAGACTGTGAGAAGTGCTGGGGAGCTATTTATGAGAAAGGAGTTTTTAAAAAAAGGACACAAGCTAAGTTTCTGAGTTTGAAGATCATTTCACCCTCACTGGAGAAAGGAGTAAATGAAACAAGAAAACAAGACAGTTTTTCATCTTTAGGTTGTGTTCTTACGACTCTGTCCCTGAAGAAATTGATCACTTAGAAAAGTCCAGAAAGCTCTGCAAAAGTCCATCATTGTAGTCAGCCACTCATGGTCACACAGAGCTTCTGTATGATATGGTAGGCTTTCAGACACACTCCTTTTTCAAAGCCATCTTGCTGTAACTTGAAGTTTTCTGGTTTCTATCAGAGACTAAGATGTGAAAAAAGAATTAAAACTAAGGACTAGGGGTTCAGATAGAACGCTTGGTCAGTAAAGGTGTTCGCCACCAAGCCTGACAGCCTTCCCAGTGGGAGGAGGGAAACCGACTCTTGGATGTTGTCCTCTGACTTTCACACCTTTGCCAAGATGCACGTGCTCTCCCTCCCCTACATATACATATACATATATATATATATATAGAGAGAGAGAGAGAGAGAGAGAGAGAGAGAGAATAAAGTGCAAAAAAACCCCAAAACTAATGACAAAGTTCTCCTTCTCCTAGCCCTTCGCCACAGGAAGATGGGCAGATCATGTTTGATGTTGAGATGCACACCAGCAGGGACCATAGCTCTCAGGTGGGTGTGCTGCTTATTCTGCTTTGGAAAAGGTACAGTCTCTAAAAATACTTTTACTGAAATATGTTATAGAAGATGCGAAGGCCCTGGGGAGATGAATCAGTCAGTGGGGTGCTTGCTATGCAAGGATGAGGACTTGAATTTGGACTCCCAGCACCCACACTGTTCCTAGTTTGCCTTCATATTGTTGTGATAAAAACACTGATCAAAACCAATTTGGGGAGGAAGATACTAAATGTTGACTTCTGGCATCCACCTGCACACACATTTGCATGCACACATATACAAACAGATTCATGCACAGACATATTCTTTTTTGGGGGAGTCTTTTTTTTGAGACAGGGTCTCCCTGTAGCCAGCCCCAGCTGTCCTGGATTCACTATGGAGACCAGGCTGGCCTCGAACTCACAGAGATCCTCCTGCCTCTGCCTCCTGAGCACGCCTGGCACACAGACATATTCTTACACACAGAAGATTTCAAAATAGTTTGAAGGTATTTTAAATTAGTTTCCAATTTGGGGATTATTTAGGATATTATATTTCCTTGTTGCTAGGCTAAAATAGTTGGAAAATTCTTGTGTACAATGTGTCATCCCAGTATTCCAGACTAGTTTCTTGAATTTGTAAGTAGAAAACTGAGGCAGATGTCTTAGGGTCACAAAGTGGATGAGGGTGAAAGTTGTGCTAGAATCAAGTGCGCGAGCCCCAGATGGACACAGAGCCTTTTCTTTTTTTAAGACAAGGTCTCACTATGTAGCCTTGGATGACCAGGAGCTCTCTGTGTAGACTAGTCTGGCCTGGAACTCTCTGTGTAGACTAGGCTGGCCTGGAACTCTCTGTGTAGACTGGGCTGGCCTGGAGCTCTCTGTGTAGACTAGGCTGGCATGGAGCTCTCTATGTAGACTGAGCTGGCCTGGAAAAGTGTGTAGACTAAGTTGGCCCGGAACCCTCTGTGTAGACTAGGCAGGCCTTGGAACTCTCTGTGTAGACTAGGCTGGCCTGGAACTCTCTGTGTAGACTGGGCTGGCCTGGAGCTCTCTGTGTAGACTAGGCTGGTGTGGAGCTCTCTATGTAGACTGGGCTGGCCTGGAACTCTCTGTGTAGACTGGGCTGGCCTGGAGCTCTCTGTGTAGACTAGGCTGGTGTGGAGCTCTCTATGTAGACTGGGCTGGCCTGGAACTCTCTGTGTAGACTGGGCTGGCCTGGAGCTCTCTGTGTAGACTAGGCTGGTGTGGAGCTCTCTATGTAGACTGGGCTGGCCTGGAACTCTCTGTGTAGACTGGGCTGGCCTGGAGCTCTCTGTGTAGACTAGGCTGGTGTGGAGCTCTCTATGTAGACTGGGCTGGCCTGGAACTCTCTGTGTAGACTGGGCTGGCCTGGAGTTCTCTGTGTAGGCTAGGCTGGCATGGAGCTCTCTATGTAGACTGAGCTGGCCTGGAAAAGTGTGTAGACTAAGTTGGCCCGGAACCCTCTGTGTAGACTAGGCAGGCCTTGGAACTCTCTGTGTAGACTAGGCTGGCCTTGGAATTCTCTGTGTAGACTAGGTTGGCCTTGGAATTCTCTGTGTAGACTAGGCTGGCCTTGGAACTCTGTATGGCTCTGACTGGCCTGGAACTCAAAGAGATCCGCTCTTCTTAATTAGCAGTGACTTTTGAGATTAATTTTTGTAGCTAGGAAAAAAAAATGTCATCTAAATTAGACTGGAAGATCTTGAGCGTGTAGCTGTTGGTAGTGACTGTTCATGGCCAGCCTGACCTCATTAATGTGCCAGGTTATCTGAAACTTATTGGAGTAGAAATTCTCTGTATTTTTTTAAAAAATTTATTCTCGTTTTGTTGGGTATTTTGCCTGCATCTTTTTAAGTGCACCTGTGCCATGCAATGTCCACGGAGCCAGAAGACAGCATAGGATCCCCTGGTGATAGTTGTTAGCACCACGTGGCTGCCAAGAACCAAACCCGGGTCCTCTGCAAAAGTGGCCAGTGCTCTTAACCACTGAGTCGTCTCTCCAACCTTAGAGTAGAAATTCTTGAGAACAGGAACAAATGTCTTCTCTTTGTGTTTGAAAAATCCTGTGTGGCTGTGTGCATGACCCAGAGAAGCCTTGTTAGTGGTGTTCTCGCTCCGTGTTGGTGTGGGCTGCTCATACTACAGATACTTGGCCTGTTCACTTGGTTCTTTCAGTGTTCTATCTGGAAGGCTGCACAGCTTTTCCGTGCTTTGACTGTGTCACCTTTTCACTCTTCTGAAATGTGGAAATTTTTTGCTTTGAATACCAACTTAGTGCTCGCTTTGGCCACACCATCAATACTAAAAATTGGAATTAGTTTATGGTGTGCTTTAGTCTATAAAGCTTATAGTGGTAAGGCTCGTTTAGTAAGAGAATCTGACAGAAAGTTTTGAATTACTAACTGGTCTGTATGAGTCTGGCCGTGTGCAGTTACGTTGTAACTGGTGTGGAAAAAGTACATGAAGTGTTTGTGTCAGAAGTGTACCAAGGGTGGAAGAGAGGAAGGAAGCAAGCTTTGTACTGTAGCTTCCTGAGGAACACATCTTCAGTCCCGGCCAGCTTTTGATTAGACAGGTTGAAAGTCTAGATTAGCATTTTCCAAAATGTGTCTGAGGAATGCTTACTCAGTTGAGATTCCATAAAGTAGTTATGAAATCAAATAAATGAGAAATCCTGCAGGCCCCAGGCCCCAGGCCCCATGAGGAGACACATTGGCAACAGCTCTAAAAAGTCCTGCAGTCATGTTAGCAGTTTAAACCAAGTGTTTCCTTGGCTGATGTGCCCTCCTCTTCCCACAGGTGCTTTCCCTCCTGGCTTAGGAATTCAGTAGAACACCTGGATAGGGCAATTCTCCTCACGGAAAGGCAGGTGTACAGTTAGGCCTATGTGCACACTGAATTTCCATGGGATTCTGGAGCTGAATGTGGCCTCCCTGAGATTGGAAAGGAACCCCTGGAATTCAGGAGAGAAAGTGTGTGACATTCTGGTGTGATTACCAGTGAGGTGCCCCTTTAGAAACAACCTGAATGACACACCTGGGAAATCTTCAAGAGGCAGGAGCCATACTAATGGCGCACAGTGTGAACAGTCTGGTCTGCCAGTGTGGACAAGCATGGCATTTGGCAAAGGCAGTGTAACACCACAGGAAAGTTCTGTCTGTGGAGTAAGACTTTTACTGAGGGAGAAAATCCCATGTCTTAAAAAAAATTCAGAGTGGGGCTGGGCGTGGTGGCACATGCCTTTAATCCCAACACTTGGGAGGCAGAGGCAGGCGGAGAGTTCAAGTCCAGCCTGATCTACATAGTGAGTTCCAGGTCAGCTGAGGCTACAGGGAGACCCTGTCTCAAAAAGACCGAAAAAAAAAAAAAAATTTCAGAGTGTAATCTTACTGTGTGTCCACTCTGTGCAAAGAAGGAAATATGAACTCATTCAGAAACCTAAACTAGGGATTGGAGAGATGGCTCGGGGATTAACAGCACTGACTGCTGTTGGAGAGGTCCCAGATTCGAATCCCAGCACCTACATGGTGGCTAACAACCATCTGTAACTCCAGTCCCAGGGGATCCAATGTCCTCTTCTGACCTCTGAGGGCATTGCAAGACACAGGTGCACTTACACATACACAGGAATACACTCACACACCTAAAATAAAAATGATAAATAGCTTTTAAAAAACCTAAACTAAACCACTGAGCAGTTAGAGTCATGGGGAGGTCCCTGGAAGACTTGGCAGAGCAGACTGCCTTGAGGCTGGGGTAGAGCTGCTGAGACAGAGTCCTTGCCTAGCATGTAGGAGGCCCTGGGCTTACTGCAGAAACCAAATGAAAAAACCAAGAGCACTGGCATGACAGTTCAGCAGGTAAGGGCACTTGCTGCCAAGCCCTGACAACTTGAATTTGACCCCAGAGTTTAATCCTTGGGACTCACATGGTACAACATGAAAACCAGTTCTTTCAAGTTGTCCTCTGACTCTGCATGACCACTGTAGCACCTGCATCTGTCCCCCACATGCATAAATAAATGTAATGTCTGAAAAATAGAGGCCAGCTGTGGTCGTACATGCCTTTAATCCTAATACTCAGGAGGCAGAGGCAAGCTGTGAGTTTGAGGCCAGCCTGGTCTACATAGTAAACTCCAGGTCAGCTGAGGCTATATAAGGAGACCCTGTCTTTAAAAAAAACAAAATAACAAAGGAAATGACCTGCAGTAGGTTGAAGGGTCAGAGGTTGTGTGAACAGACTGGTCTGTGTCTTCATTGTGACAGTTTGTTTTTGACTGAGGATTTCAGTGTTACTCCAAAAAGCCAACTCATGATTCTGAGTAATCTCAGTACCCACTGGAAAAAGCTCAGCCCTAAATGCTGCATTGTGTCATTCAATGGAATTTGCCAAGTTCAGCAGAACTAGATAAGGGCGACACTGACAGCAGCAAACATCCACAGGGATTCTGCTCCTGTTTTGGTAGTAAAAGGAACTGTGTGTGTAGAGGCGGGATCAAGCTCCCTTCCTGAGGCAGCCATGTCACCAAGAGCTGGAGCTTCAGGACTCTTGAGAGTCACAGCTTCACCTTCCCTAAAACCAAATAAATAAAGTGTATCATTTTTAGGAATTTTTCATCTCTCGGTTCTGTTAAAGAGAGTTTGTGGGGCAGGAGAGATGGCTCAGTGGTTAAGAGTGCTGACTGCTCTTGCAGAGGACATGGGTTCAATTCCCAGCACCTACATGACAGCTAACAACTGTCTGAAATTCCAGGTTTAGGGCATCTGACACCCTCTTCTGATCTCTGTGGGCATTGCACAAGACGGGGTACTTATACAATGTAGGTAATACATTCATACACATAAAATAATAATTTTTTTTTTAAAAAGCTTGCAGGGCAGGATAGCTCACACCTGTAATCCCAGTTTAGGAGGCTGAATCAGGAGGATTGTTACATACTGAGTTCCAGGCTAGCCTGGGCTGTAGAGTGAGACAGGTGTCTCAAACAGTAGTAAGCTTGTGAAGTGGAAATTATTCCTGGCTTGCAAGTTTAGGTTATCACTAGCAATAAAAAGAATTTCTTTTTCATTTATTTGATAATGATAACTTCTGACTCCAAAATAGATTATTCCAGAAAACTTGGAGATAGTTTCAAAATCTTGAGAAATATTTACATGGTAATTTCTCTAGAGAGCTCCAGAGAGCTCTGGCCTTCTGCTTAGAGCTGGGGAACCTTCAGCAAGGTGCTTAACCCTGTCCCAGTGTCTTCATCTGAGGATGGGATTTCGGCAGTTTCTGTCTGGTGGAGTCACTCATCTGCAGTGCCCACAAGGTGCCCTGTCTCAGTGCTCAGCGTCACTTCTCAGAACCACCTCTCCCTTGCTTTGTTTCTGTCAGCAGATCCTTTCTGATACCTATTTTTTTCAACTTCTGAAAATTTTAAATATAATATGTGAAATACAGTATCAAGACTAGTCTAGTGAGCATCACCCAGATTCAACAGTTACCCACTTCCCACACTTACTACATTACCAGATAGGGTTTTCCAAAGTTGTAGTCCAGTTAAGTACGACAGCCAACAAGCTCATTTTCCCATTTAAATTTTTTATTTTGTGCCAGGCGTGGTGGTACACACCTTTAATCCCAGCACTGAGGAGGCAGAGGCAGGTGGATCTCTGTGAGTTCAAGGCCAGCCTGGTCTACATAGTGAGTTTCAGGACAGCTGGGGATACAGAGAGACCCTGTCTCAAAAAAGACCAAAAAAAATTTTTTTTTATTTTATGTGAGTTTCGCATGCATTTACATAAGTGTGCATGTATGCAGTGTCCACATAGGCCAGGAGAGGGTGTTGGAGCCCCTGGAACTGGAGTTTCAGATGGTTGTTAGCTGCCATGTAGGTGCTGGGAACCAAACGTGGGTCCTCTGCAAGAGCAGCCAGTGCTTTTGACCGCTGAGCCATCTCTCCAGCCCCACATTTGCTCTGTTTAAGATAGTGCTTTTAGATCAGTTTTCAGCCCTTTCAGAACAGCACCTGTTTCGTGTATAAAAATTACTAATGCCCAACTTAATGGATTTAGTTTGATTTTGTATTAAAAGGGATTAGTCTTCCTCTTTCTCCCCGTCTCCCTCACTGTTGGTTTGAATTCTTTACAGTCAGAAGAAGAAGCTGTAGAAGGAGAGAAGGAAGTTGAGACTTTGAAGAAAAGTGCAGACTGGGTATCAGACTGGTCCAGTAGACCTGAAAACATCCCCCCCAAGTAAGTCCCACCACGAGGCTTTCCATGGCCCGGCATGTGTATTGTGTGTGAGGGCTGGTATGATCCCTGGGATGTCTCCAGTGCAGATGTTTCTGACACCAGCCTCTGCATGTCTTTCCCAGAGAGTTCCATTTCAGACACCCGAAACGTGCTGTGTCTCTAAGCATGAGGAAAAGCGGAGCCATGAAGAAAGGGGGCATTTTCTCTGCTGAGTTCCTGAAGGTGTTCATTCCGTCTCTCTTCCTTTCCCACGTGCTGGCTTTGGGACTGGGGTGAGTACCCTGGAACTGATCCAGTTCTCTGTTCACTTCATCCTCATGTTTGACTTTCAGCTGTGAGAAGTGATGTGGTGGTTGTGGCCCTCCTGCTCTCCTCTGCTGTTTGAGTGCACACGAGGATGTTCAGAAAGGAAGGGAGAGCGCATGTTCATACTGATTCTTGAAGTGATCATTTTGAAGCGATTTCTTTTATGATTTTTTTTTCTTTTTGAGTTTTATGTTTAAAATTTAGCTAAGCTTGAGTAATTTATAAATTTTTAATATATAAGCTTAAGAGTAAATGCAAAATGATTTTTCCTCCAGGTGGAAAAATATGCCATCTTGAATAAAACTGGTAGGCCAGCATGTGGTAGCATTTCTGTTTCTGCTGAAATCAAATCTCATACTTTAATCCATTAATTTTTCTGGCATGTCTTTTCAATTAATTGCTTTTTTCCTCTTGATTTGAACATTGGAGAAAATACTCTTGAAAATTTTGGTAATAAACAGCCTAATTTTTCGAGATACACCTGCCGTAGTCTGAGCGTGTTCAGTGGGCCATTTTCTGTGTGTGACGCAGGGAAGGTGGCTCCTTGCTCACCTTGCTGTGAGCTCAGCAGAGCAGAGAGCAGAGCCCACTGTCCACACAGGATGTGCTCATCTTTGCCCCATCTCTCCTGGGGACAGGAGCCGCTTATTGAAGACAGTGACAGAATTCACAAGTAGAGGTGCGGGGTGGCGGATGGGGTCGGATCTGGGAGGACTGAGTCCTTGCCGACGGCTCAGTTCATTTTCCCTCGGAAGCTTGGTTTTTTGGACCTTGCTGTAGTCTTTCATGAATTTTTAGGCTGTTTTTGTTGCTTTAATTTAGCTGTTGCTATAGATAAATGTAGAAGAGGGGAGCTTAAAACTAATTGCTTTTATTACATCAAGGGTTATGCTACTTTAACTTTGCTTATGCTGTTGAAGGGGTCAAGTTCTTTGCCTGGTGTGGAAAAGTCCCATTAAGTCCCTCCCTAATCCCTAAGGGTTATTAGCAAGAGTCATCTTAATAACACTAGCAGTTTAAATTGTTTTGCCTATAGCAAGCAGCTAGAGCTCTGTGACCGTGTCTGTTTCTGAAATAGCAGTAGAACACTTTGTCCAAAAAGGAACAGCTAGGGGTGGGGCAGGCTCTGCTTTGGGTTTGAAAAGGGGTCTTCTCTCTAGCTTGACTTTGTCTTCACGTCACTGGCCCTGTGCTGGCAGTCCTGATTTAGTGAGTAAACAAAATCAGATATAGCAAATGTGACTGGGCTGGTTAGTGTGCTGTAGCGTAGAGGTAGCACGCTTGCTTAGTGGGTACAAGGCCCCTGGGTGCAAGGAAGAAAGAGTGATGGTCCAGGGTGTCTGGACATTGTGCACTTGAGAGCCCTTTACCAGGACTGAAAAAGTCGAGCTGTTCAGGAGAGCTTAGCCTGTGGACCCAGTGGCTGTAGTTGTAGAAATAGATGGATCATGATGCACTCTGCTTCCTTGCAGCATCTATATTGGAAAACGACTGAGCACGCCTTCTGCCAGCACCTACTGAGGGAAGGAAAAGCCCCGGAAATGTGCATGGCCTGTGAAATGGTGTATTGTAGTTTATTCGAATTTGAGATCATTGTAAGCATGACCCCTACCCATGACCCTGTTTTTACATACCCAATTCCAGTAACTCCCAAATCTAGTATTTTATTCAAACTCTGCTGAGGCATTTTATTAACTGTGTTCTCTTTTTGGCTTGGAAGACACTTTAAAATTTCCTAACAGAGTTTACTGTGGTTTAGAAATTTGCAAGGGCTTCTTTTCCTCAAATGCCACCAGCAGATTCTAATTTTGTCAGCAATGCTATTGTCTCCTTAGTACACCAGAATCAGACCTGTACTTCATGCTGGAACTAGCCATGTGATCTCTCTAAATGAGATCAGGTTAGCAAACAATATTATAAAAGCTTTGTTTAGTTTTTTTTTTTTTTCCAAAACAAAAACAAGCTTCCCTAAGCTTGAATATATAATTATTTAAAAAGAGAACATAAACGACAAAAAAAGCAAGACACAAGGGAAAAAAAAAAACCTGGGCAATAAAAAATTACTTTAAACCAGTTTTGGAACCGCTTTTTTCCTGAGCCTCCTAATAACGCCTTTAATTTGTAGGATGTGGCCTGTGTGAGTGACAGACAGGAAGTGGAACTACAAGACAGATTTAATACCAGTGTGTTATATGGAATAGTCTTTATTTCTGATAAGGAACACCTCAGGCCTAGACATACATGAAATTGCTTTTGAGATTTTGTGTGGTTGGTATTTTCATGTGTTAGCTGCATGCGAATTTTTCATAACTTTCTTAATTTTTTTTCTAATTTCTTTCATTTTTCCCCCCCTAAGAAGAGACTTTGGAAGGAGTCCAGTCCATGGTGTTAACACAGGCTTCTTGTTTTAGGAAGCCCCTCTTAGATTCTGAAGAAATTTGCTTCATAGTTACCCCAGCACTGTGTAACTTCAGAAAGCAGACCTGGGCTGTGGGAACAGTTGACAAAGTTCTGGGAAGATGCCACTTGTTACCTCCTGGTTCCTCACTTCCTGGTGGTGACTGTGCTCTTCCCAAGGTGTCCTCAGGCTCTCTCAGGCCTGGGGATTTTCAGACATGGCCATCTTTTCGGTTCTGTCAAACTCCTGATGCTCTAGAACATTCAGCAGATCCCCTCAACGACGGACTCTCTTGTCTATTTCTAAAATGTGAAGCTTTAGGACCAAATTGTTAGCATCAGGACTGCAGATTATTTCAAGTAGATTTTGTTGGATTTCACATAGCATGACTCTGGAGAGTTCTACATTTTATATATAAATCATTACTGTTGATGATGTAGACGGTGTGGTAGTTGGAGAACCATTGTGAATTTTGAAGCTGGCGATCTATAAGGTGCACAGGTTGACTTGAATAGAAACACTATGACAACCAGGTTTGCCAGTGTGCTTCACAAGCTAACTTTCCTCTCCCATATAGAGGTTTATAGAATTGGTGTGTCATAGGAAATAACACAGACAAATGAGATTAATTTCTAGCCTTTTTCAAGAACATAGCTGTTTATCTTTAGGAATAACAGTATTTCCAAAACAGTTTTTGTGGGTTATTTTCTTTTTCTTTCTGGCATTTGATGTCTAAGTAATTGTGGATGTTGTCTGCCCTATTTCTGTCTTACTCAAACCTGGTAACGCTTGATTCTCCTTCTTGCCTATTTATTTCAAGTGTTCTTGTTTGAATTTCTTTAGGAAGAAAGTAAATCTGATGACTATTTTTTGAAAAGCCTAGTAAAATTGGCAAGGCTAGTAAAACTAAGCTGCTACTACACAGTTTGTAGTGTGACTGACACCAGGAGAGAGAAGAGCAGAATCACCCCTTAGATAAAAACAACTTTTACAGGCCGTACACCGCCTTCTCACTAAATTCAGTAGCAACTTTATCCGTAGTGCTGTTGGACTCTGGGTATATTTATGATTTTTTTTTTCAGCATTAAGACTAAATTTAGTTTTGCCATTTTCTGGATGTACCAGTGAGATCACTGAACATGTCACGGTGGCGCTGACCATCAGTGAGCTCGTGCAGCGCTGACAGGTGGCAGCCCCGGCACAGGGTCACAGTTGGCGCTCCTACCCAGACTGTGGTTGAATGAACACAGATTGTTTGATTAGAAAGCAGAATTCAACCATTTGTTGAGATTTAAGATTAATGTTTAAAAAGCTTTATACCTGTTTACAATTTGGGGCTGAAAAGCGGGCTTTTTTAATATTTGGTGAAAACTGGCTCAGATGTCTAAATCAAGAGAACAGCCACAAGGAACAGCCACAAGAGACTTGCACAAGGAAAAGTGGGACATGGAACCCGACTGCCGTGGAAATGGAGACTCGGCAGTGAGATGGATCTCCAAGGGAAGCGGTTGAAACGATCAGAATTAACTGAGCCGAAGTGATCATGCACCGTTCTTCACTCATCTACCTAGTTAGCACTTTGTGTCATTATAGACCGTTTACAACACATGGATAACTGTAGCTGTAAACATTCTGTGCCATTAAACTCTCACAAAACCTTTCCTGTCAGTGTATCGCTTTTATGTCACGAGCATTGCCCAAGAAGCCTTCCCGTGTCTACAGGAAACTTCCTCATGGGAGAATTCACCAAGACTGGAGTGCCCAACTGACTGTACAGGTGAGTGGGTCTGCCTGCGCGCTCCTGCTGGAGGTTTGCATTGGAATAGCAGCAAGCAGAACAGTAGTGTGTGGTAATTGTTTTGTTTTGTTTTTTTATTTCTTTCTTTTATGTGTATGAGTGTGTTGCCTGCATGTATGTGAGTGCACCCATGTCATGCAATGTCACGGAGATCAGAAGAGGGCTTCAGATTCCCCTGGAACTGGAGTTAAGGTTGGTTCGTAGCCACCATGTAGGTGCTGGGAATTGAGCCCAGGTCCTTTGCAAGAGCAGTCAGTGCTCTTAACTGCTGAGCCATCTCTCCAGCCCTGGTAATTCTATTTTAATAGGACTGAGGGTGCTACAGCATTGGTTGTCTTGATATTAAACAGGAGACTGGAACTGGGACTGTCCCTCACTGGGAGAGTGTTGGCCTATTGTGTGAAGCCCTGGATTCAATTCCTGGCACCCCCTCCCCTCAAGAAAAAACCCATATGACTATAAACTTTTAACTTGCAATGAGATGGATGGCCATTGGAGGAGTTCAGACTAAAGTTCCACGCACAGAAACATGTAGAGAGCCAACAGTTATTCCCCGGACCTTTGCGAGAGCTCCTGCCGAGGACTGCTGAGCATCAGGCTGTTAACCAGTAGCAGTGGTGGGTGGTTTTCCAGATGAAGGGACTTGGGGCATGATAAGGTTAACTAACTCACTGGTGAGTTACTTCTGCGTGGCTGTGAACAGAGCACCTGAGGAAACAGAATTCCCTAGCTCACAGTTGAGTGTCGGCCCTTGGGAACATCGTTGGTGGCAGGATTGTGTGGCAGAGCAGGTTCTGGCCGTGCAGCGGGCAGGAAGCGGACTGAGGAAAGCGCTGGCTACCATACTTCAGGGCACACCTGCAGTGCCCACCCTGCAGCTAGATCCCACCTCCTGAATGTCCCACCACTCAAGTGATGCTGTCAGCTGGGGACCAGGCACAGGGGACATCACTCAGCACACCATTAATCACAGTTGGGATGCCAGCTCAAAGCAAAAGCATGTTCCAGGCTCAGCCTCTTAAGAGCAACCGGGAACAATCACAAAGTGTCATTTCTATGCAGGAAAATCACATTTAACCAGCAGTTCTGGTGACCTGGGAAATAACACTGGGCAGCCTTTGTTGTCGGCCTCATTCTGCTCTACATACGAGGCAGCACTGAACTCTGGTGTAAAGATAGGTTTAGGTACCCATTTGGGCATCACTGGGTTCAGCATTAGGAATGAATTTGGAAAGAAAAAAGTCCTTGTGCATTTCAGCTATTTCTCCAAGTTAATTTTCGTATCATCTGTGCTTTGATAAAGTGCTATAATGTTCCTGCCACAGGATCCATACTTTAGGGGATAGAAGTTGGGATGGGCACAGTCTAAGGCAAGTACCACTGTGTTAGCTGTAAGGCTGAAGAAGCAAGTCCAGTGTTTTGAGTGAGGAGCAGAGGAAGTCCAGAAATTGAGTGAGCACCTTCTGTAAGCTAGGCATTGCATGCTTTTTCTTTTTTTTGAGACAGGGTCTTTCTGTAGCCCCAGCTGTCCTTGAACTTACTATGTAGACCAGGCTTGCCTCCATTTCCCAAGTGCTGGGATTAAAGGTGTGTACCACCATGCTGGCATAGCTCTTTCATCTTTAAAGATTTATTTCTGGCAGGGGGTGGGAGCATGAGTGTATATGTACATGTGTGCAAGGGTATGTGCATGTGGAAGCTGAAACACGGCATCGAATGGCCTCTTCTGTCTCCCCAGTTGTTTTGAGGCAGGTCTTCCCCTAACCTAGGGCTTCCATTTCTCATCTAGGATGGAAGATAGCAGGTCTCAAGGGTCCTTCTGTCTCTGCCCTCCTCAAAGCTGGGCTTCTGGCCTGTGCTAGACGCCTGGCTTATTGCATGGAGCTGTGATCTGAACTGTGGTCTTTAAGATTGCTAGCAAGTGCTCTTAGCACTGAGCCCTCTCTCCAGTCTTCCATTCTTGGACCCCCAGAAGACCCCAAAATTCATTTAACGGTTTTTACGAAGCACCAGGTGAGCAGCTCAAAACAGTAATTTAAAATATCGAACATTGAAAAAACAGTGCAAAGATAACACCAATTTAGTAAGACATGTTGAGAAATGATGCTAGGAAAATATTAAATATTGTGCTCGCTTGAGCACAAACTATATAGCTAAAGCCTTTAACAGTCCTCTCCAGTCTGAGCCAAGGAGCTTCAGGTAGCGTTCATGAGCATGTGGCATGACAGCGTGCACAGTGCAAGTCCATGTTGTGTGGTCAGAACTGAGGCTGCGGGGATTATACAGTGCAGTGCTAGAGAGTGCTGCCAGAAATATCTCCGATTTGTTATGTTTGACTTGGAACTAGTTTGGACAGATTTCAGAAATGTTAGTGTGGCCACTTTCTTTGTCTTTGAGACAGTCTCCCTGTAGCCACAGCTGGCATAGAACTCACTATGTAGACCAGGCTGGCCTTGACCTCAAAGAGCTTCACCTGCCTCTGCCTCCCAAGTGCTGGGATGTGTGCCACCATGCCTGGCTTGTTACCACATTTTTCACAAGCTCCACACTGTTTATAAGCAGTGAATAAGGGTTCCTGTTTTTATACATCACGAGCCTTTGTTTTAGCCGTCCTGACATGGTTGAGATGGAATCTCAGTGTAGATTTAATTTGTATTTCTCTAGTGGCTAAGAATCTTGAACCTGTATTCAAATATCTTTTGGCCACTTGTAGTTCTTCTTTTGGAAAATTGTCTGTTTAGAGGAGAGATGGCTTAGCAGTTAAGAGCACTGACTGCTCTTGTAGAGGATCTGGGTTCAATTCCCAGCACCAACATTGTGGCTTATAGCCCTCTGTAACTTCAGTTCCAGAGGAATCTGACGCCTTCCTCTTCTGACCTCTGCGGGCATTGCACAACACAGGTGCACTTGCATGCATGCATGCAGACAGTACACTCGTACACATAAAATAAAATTTATATATATACTTTTTTTTTTTTAAGTCTTTGAGGCAGGGTCTCCCTGTAGCCGAAGCTGGCCTGGAACTTACTATGTAGATGAGGCTGGCCTTGAACTCACAGAGATCTGCCTGCCTCTGCCTTCTGAGTGCTGGGATTAAAGGCATGCACCACCACACCTGGCAAAAAATTGGGCTGGAGAGATGGTGCAGCCATTAAAAGGCTAACGCTAAAAAAACATGAAAAAAGAAAATTGTCTATTCATAACCCATTTGTTGATTGGATAATTTTGATAAGGGTTTTTGGGTTTTTTTGTTTTGTTTTGTTTTGTTTTGTTTTGTTTTGTTTTGTGGTCTTTTTGAGACAGGGTCTTCCTGTAGCCACAGCTGTTCTGGAACTCACTATGTGGACCAGGCTGGCCTTGAATTCACAGAAATCCACCTGCCTCTGCCTCCCGAGTGCTGGGATTAAAGGCATGTGCCACCATGCCTGACCCATTTTTTTAAGAGTTCTTTTTGTCTCTAGATACTAATCCCCAGTCTGATGTATAGCTGGCATGGATTTTCACCCACTCTATAGGCTGTCTCCACACTGTGGACTGATTTCCTTTTCTGTGTAGAATTTGTTTTTTAAATTTCATGCACTCCCATTTCTCCATTCTTGAGATGATTTCCTGTGCTATTGGAGTCCTTTCCAGAAAGTTCTCGGCTGTGCCTGTATTTTGAAGGGCTTTGCAGATACTTCCTCCTGTAGTTCCAGAGTTTCAGGCCTCACATTATGGTCTTTGAAAATTGACATCTGTGCAAGGCGAAAGTAGGGATTTGGTTTTGTTCCGCATGTGACCTCCCATTTCCCTAGTACCGTTTATTTGCTGGAGAGACTTTACACCTTGGCCAAAGGTTAGGTGATTGTAGCTGGGTGGGTTTGTTTCTGTATTTGTTAAGACTTGTGGTCCACAATGGGTTGTTTTGGAGAACATTCGGTGGACTGCTAGGAGAATGTTTCATGACCATTGGGGTCAGGCCATCCTATAGATATCTGTTCAGTCCATTTGGTCTGTGTTGTTTAACTCCGAGGTCTCTGTCGATTTTAGTCACCTGTTTGTCATTTGGATGGCCTATCCAGTAACAGGCCTGGGTTTTTGTTTTTGCCTTTTTAAATTTTATTTATATTTTTATTTGCGTGTATTGCCTGCATGTAGGTAAGTGCACCCATGTTGTGCAGTGCCTGAGGAGGACAGAAGGGCTGTCGGATCCCCTGGAACTGGAGTTATGGACAGTTGTTAGCTGCCATGCGGATGCTGGGATTCGAACCTGGGTCTTCTGTGAGAACATTCATTGTTCTTAACCACTGAGCCATTTCTCCAGCCCCAGGCCTGGGGTTTTGAAGCACCATTATGATCATATCAAGACCAGACTGACCTTTTATGCCCAATGCGTGTATTTTATATAAAACTGGGAGACCCCGCATTTGGTATGCAGATACTTGTAATTGTTACACCATCTTGATGAATGTTCCCCCTTTGTCGTATGCAGTGGTCTTTATTTCTTCAGACTGATTTGGCTTGAATCTACATAATGAGATATCAGGATAGCTATACCCTTGTACAGCTTATGGGGAGCTTCCATGCCCTTGATGACACGTTGACTTCTGTCCTGTGACTCAGTCTCAGGTGTCTTTGCTAGTGAGCAGAGCAGCAAATAAATTGATCTTATTTTTTCATCCAGTCAGCTAGGCTGCATCTGTTGGTGTGTTGAACTCTTCACACTTAAGGTTATCATTGAAAGATGTTTGCTAATTGCTATTATTTTCTTGCTTTACAAGTTGATTGGATGATGATTGTTTTCTTCTTTCTCACGTTAGTTTTAGGGGATGCTGGTTGACTCCAGTAGACTTAGTGGATCTTTGCTCATTGTTCATCTCAAG